GTCAAATCCTAAAATGGCTATAGAGGCAAAAAGGCCCACAGCTGAATGAGAGAGGGTGATCCTGCAAGGGAGTCAATTGGAACCCTACAGATGACCGACCTCCTTCAGGCTTTTCTTCCTTGACATAGAACATTTGTATAGAGGAGGGCTTAATCCATTTTCTACTGAAAAATATTACTTTCTTACATTAACTGTTTGATTTGACTTCAGCTTGCCTCAGTGGCAGCCTGGCCTTGAAATGGAGACTCCAGTGGGAGGACAGGTCATTAAGGACTGGTAAGCAGTCCATCTCAAAGCAAGAATCCTTTAATTTATTAAAAAGGGTCATCTTGATGAAACCTGGTGTTTAACATAAAGATAGACAATTTAATGAACATTTTTGAAATAACATTATTGTGGTTATTGTGTAAAGTTCAAAGTATAAAGAATAATCCACTAATGATGGAGGTCTATTGAGGAAAATAAGGAGAAGCTGGCTAGTTCCATTTGTTAGCACCCTAACGACTCCTAAGAAGTATAAAATTAGCATCTTGTATGTGGTCAATCTGACATTTTGCTGCCGAAAGATTTATCTGACATTTAACTGAACACAATATAGTTGTGTTTGACTGCATGTGAATCCTTGAATTTAGCCAGCTTCATGGTTAATAGAAGGATTACCTGTGATATAATTTCCAGCCTGTAAATCAAGAGATTTATTAACTGAATTACATGAAAAAATATTTTTATAATTTTTCCACCAGAAAATAAACTGTAAATATATCAATAAAGGAGAATGTTTGTAATTGTAAATATCTACTTTTAAACAAGTTATACCAGACTCCATGCCTGGTATAATTATACCAACACTGCTGTTAATAAAATATTAAGCCACAACAATGTAAAGACACACTAACACTGTAATATAGGGGACAAATAGTCTACCCTTTCCTTATGGTTCTGGACTGTATATTAGATGTAGCAGATGACTCTGCCATATGACTCTGGGGGGAAAGGAAACTGCTAACAGATTGTCAGTTTTTTCTTGGTGTGAAAAGACACATTATAATAAGAGTATAATAAGAGGCAGTTTGGTGTAGTGGCTAAAGGCACTGGGATAGGAACTAGAAGACTATGAGTTTTAGACATGCCTTGAGCACATTGTTTATGTTAGAAAGGGCTAATATCAGTAAAAGGAGGGGGGCTTGGAGCCTTGTAGGGATATGGAATTTAGATGCACTGGTCTAATCATAGTAAGGTCATTCCATAGTATTATCAAACCTTATAGTGTGGCTGTAAAGGTCATATTATGATTTATATTGCTTTATTTATCACTCCTATGTAACATTTCTGGGGTATATAATCCATAACCTTGCTTAGTTCAGGGCTCTTTGACATTCTCTTGGTCTGAAGCCCGTGGATCACTGCAATTTTGCATGCCAATAAAAGATACTGTGTTGCATCTATCTCAAAATGGGCATTTTTCCCATAGCAGAAAGTTGGATCAGATATAATGCTGTTTTAAACCAAAAAATTCTGTCCCTCAGTTGAACTCCCGGTGACATTTTGATATATTAGTTTTGTAATTTTATGCCAAGTTTTTTGTTTAAGAAGTATGATTGCCTGATCCTATCCCAGCTTTATCAGCATCCTGAGAACCTCAATTTAAATAATTTGTCATTTATTTCAAATTTCCAGGAGAAATAATATTTATCTGACAAGGTAAGATATACCAGACTTTGAGATGAAAAACAGCATTTAGGCAATATCTGAATACATACAACCATGCCCTTCTTTTGATTGCTATAAGCCCTGCCTCCAAACATAGAGCAGAGTTAACTACATATTTTGCTATCTGGAATTCTTAGGAAACTAATTTGAGCTGTCTCCAGTTTCTCATAGTTGACACCTGGATTTAATTGTACTCCTTCGAGAACCTGTGCCAATGTCTTGGCTTCAAAAGCTTCACAGCAGCTGGTACATATTGAGCTCTTCTAGTGAAAAAAAAAGGATTGCTAGGAAACCCCTCTGAGTATTCAGAGCAATCTGGACAATATGAATATGGTGCTTCCCCAAAGAAGGTAGCATGAACCCCAAGTATTTAAAATGAAGTATTATATTATTATTATATAATCTTTGACATTCCATCAGAATTTTACAAAATGCATAGTATTTGTTTTCTCATAGTTAATCTGTAATGAGTATTCTTAAAAAAAATGGACTACTGTTCCCATAGCTCTTCTAAGACCTACCAGTATCTGCAATAGTATAACAGCATTGTCTTTGTAAAGTGGTATAATAATTCTGTTTAGACTGGTTTAGGAAATGCCTTAAGATATCTATTGTTTAACCCCTTTACTAGTTGCATTGAATTTTAGAGGTGTTCAGCCACAGTTCATGTTACACTCAAGCTTATATTCTTATGAAGTTCATTTAATAGGCTAAGCAACTGTTTATAAATTGTAGACGCTTCAAGTTTTTCTAGAGATGGAGTCCAATGCCTGTTTTGATCTACAAAGGGCTGACTTAGGTGATTGAGTATATTTTTCTTGAGTGTATCTATTCTTGAGCTATCACCAAGCAATCTCCCTGAAACCTTACCTGTATTTCTCCTAGGTCCAGGAGGTTCTCTTCTAGCAAGTCTCAGAGTTTCTTATAAATATGGTTATTTAGCACAGATCTTATTTATTAGGCTAAAGATGCTCAAATGGCTGGATGATCTTTCATTGTCTTCTTCTGGTTAGGGATAATTAGGACTATTCCCCTGTTCTGTTAAATGTGCTTTGTTACAGTTTTAAATCCTGCCTCTGTAATAGTGTATGCAAATAACATCATATTTGAAGGTAAATATATTGGGTCGTGATTTTTCTTTCCTCAAATATCTTATGTTCTAAGCCATTCTTAGCATATTTTAAGCAATAAAGCAACTCTGAAATGTCATGCATTACAAGCAATTTAGAGAAATAATTGGAAGCAATCCGATTTTAACAATAAACAGGAAGGTTGGTAAAGTATATATATTTAGAGCACAGCCCTCCTTCAACAACTACTTATTATTATTATTATTATTAATCACATTTATATCCCGCCCTTCTCCTAGTGGACTCAGGGCGGCTTACAGCCAGTTTAAAACGGAATAACAATACAATATACAAATTTAAAATGTGGTTAAAATAAAATATTAATATAGGCCTTTCTTTTTTAAAATTATTTAAAAACCAAATTTAAAATACCCCTTAGGCCAGTCCTGCCAGCTGAAATAACCATGTCTTGAGAGCGCGGCGGAAGGAGGGGAGATCCGGAATCACCCGGATCTCTGGGGGTAGTTCGTTCCAGAGGGTGGGGGCTCCGACAGAGAAGGCTCTCCCCCTGGGGGTCGCCAACCGACACTGTCTGGTTGACGGCACCCTGAGGAGACCCTCTCTGTGGGAGCATATCGGCCGGTGAGAGGTAATCTGTGGCAGAAGGCGGTCTCGGAGGTAACCAGGTCCGATGGATTTTAAGTTTTAATTTCCTAGGAGTAAGTTAGAATTAATATATAAAAAGTATAGTAATCATATTAACTGTTTTATTTAATTTAAATGAAATATAAGCTTGCAGACTAGCCTCATTAAGTTCTTTAGATTGACCTTATTTTCTGGAGTGCACTCTCCAAGATATCATTCATATGACAATTCCAGCCCTTCACTCAAGAAAAATACACAATCCTGCAATGTAATTTCATATTTGTAGAACGGATGTTATGTGGCCTGGTGTTTAACTGGTCAATTTTTCCCTCTAATCCTTCATACTTCCCAAGTACAATCTTTTAAAAATAATCGTCCCCCTAAAACTGTTCAGAAGGCTCATCTTCGTGGTGACCAATTACAAAAAAGGGGGGCATACAGGGAAAAAAATATGGAAGACAGAGATAGTAGTTTCTAAGGTGTACTTTTTTTAAAAAAAAAAAAACCCAGCAGGGTTGCAACAAAAGGACCTTCATTTAAATGTATAGACGTGTCTTAAAATCTCAACTCATTTTATAGTAAGATGAAAAAATTGGAATGGTCTTCAGTTACACTTCATTTTTTCGAACCGCAGCCAGTGTTACCCTTCCTCGCCACTCCCGTCACAACGTTAGTCGTCGCAATAGCACATCATCCATCCTTCGTTGAATCGTTTTTGTTTACTTTCCGGAGTAATCCTCCTGTCGGAGAAACGCTGCCGACTCCCATTAGAGACTCTGCCGGCGCCACTTCCTTCCAGCCTTCTCCCTTCCTCTCTCCATCAGCCCGATTCCTAAGGTTAAGTCTGCGGGAGGGAGAGTGAGCGCGCGCGCGCGCAGCTCGCTGTACTCAGCAGCTCTTCTCCATCAGGCCGCGCGCGACGACGCCTGTCGTGAAGCGCGCGCATTTGCGCGCGACACCGCAGTAGAGCGCTAGGCGAGCTGCTTGTTGGCGCCACCGCCGCTATTTGGGAGGGCTGGATAGCTCGGGGAGGGCAGCAGAATCCCCATTGCGTCAGGATCGAGGGCAAGGGCACGCCAATGGGAGGGAAATAGGGGAGGGGGGCGCAGTAGGCCGGCCAGCCATTCAGAAGCGGAGAACTCTTGTCTCCTCAGCAACCGGCCTAGATAGCCAAGGCTGCGCCTCCCACATCACGCCCTGCTGTGGTCTTCGATGCCTTCTTCATTCTTAACCTGCTTCAGCCTGGCGGAGGAGCTGAAGCTCTCCATTCCTCTTCTCGGAGCTAACATATCGGGGGAAGGCTCCCGTAGCTTCTTTTCTCTTCCACACTCCACCCAGAAATTGTCTAGCGAGGGGTGCTTTTTTTCTCCCCCCCCCCCCTCCTCCTCTTCCTCCGCTTTCCGCTAGTCGGTGAAGACTGTGGGAAATAACCTCATTGCTCAGTTCGCTTGAATGGAGAGCGGGGAAGATTGTTTTTCTGGCGAGGGCTGCTGAATGGGGAGACGGGGGGTAAACGCGCAGCATTTCTGGAAGGGTTGCCGGGTGGGCAATAAGATTCGCTGATGATTCCCGACCATGGGCAAGGACCAGGAACTGCTGGAAGCGGCTCGCACTGGGAATGTGGCTTTGGTGGAGAAACTCTTGGCTGGCAGAAAAGGAGGGCTCCTGGGCAGTGGATCTGGACCTATTCCTTTATCCAACTTGCTGAGGTAGGGATACGTTTCCCACCAGGTCTGGGATAGTAACCTTCTCATTATCATCATCATCTTCATCTTCATCATCATCATCTTTACCTTCCTCTTCATTCTGGTCCCTATTATGACTAGTAACCAAAAAAACCGGTTTATCTTCTGAGCATGTTCAGGTGTGGAAAGAGGTTTGTGTCGTTACCTATGATGACATTAAGGCAGTAGTCTTTGGGTTTCTTTCTGCCAATGCGTCAGAAAGTATTTGATTGGGTGGGTTTCTTTTACCAATACAGAACTTTGGCATGTATTGGGCACTCTAAGGTACACACTGGTATTATTTCTTCCATTTTTAAAAGAAATCTCTATGACCACCCATTCCCCCCCCCAAAAAATTACCCAATCTCCCTCCTCATTTAGGACTGCCAGATCAGGGCTGAAAAAAAAACCTCTGGTTGACTTCTAAATGTCAGAAAAGATATAAAGGTTTTCTGTATCCACTTTCTGCCACCTAGAGGTCATCCAGAGTTTTGCAGGCCTGCTACTTACTATTCGTAATTGTAGCAAATTCTATGCTGATGGCTTTTCCAGGATAAATCAGGTATATGATGTGGTAATGTGGCATATTGTGAAAACATTTGAACTCCCAACTGAGAGGCTGTCTCTAAAAATTGGCGTACATTGTGTGCAGCAGGTGATCAAGGTTTCTAGAACTATGCAGAACTGGATTAGTAAGCATTTTTAGAAGGAGGCAACAAACTTTTAATTCAGAAAGTGTGTAACATGTAGAGTTATGTTAATATGAGACATTAATGATATATTGCTAAGTATACAGTGGGTAAAATGTTTTTCATAGTTTTAACTAGTCAAAAGATTTCAGCACACTTTAAAAAAAATAGAATTACACTAACATCATGGTATATTAACCTAAAATTTTAACTAATAATTCAGGTGCATCATCAGAACAAATAACAATATTTTGAAGTAATGAAAATTGTTTCAGTAATAGGTAAAAAGAGCATTTAATTTTCAAGGATTCTTCGCATTTTGTCAACCTGCCCCTATCTCTACAAATACAATGTTTAAAATGGTTTTTAATTGTTTCATTTTTAATTATAATCAGTAGTAGTTTAGTTAGCTATGCAATTTTTCAGAGCGGTAATAGCAGAATTTTTCTTAGCATACATGTAGCATGTTATATAGTAACTTTAATACAATATATAACCTAAGTAAAAAGGGTAATATAATGTGAGCAATTTAAATACATTTTGAATTTATTTGTAGCATTTGTGTTTGTATGTACACATCTACAATTTTTATATGTAATGTTCATCATTTCATAGTAACTCATCTATCTTTACTGTAATTATTATTTGGGTAAGATTTGCTTGAATATTAACAGATTGGTAGCTGTACAAATCTTTTTGTTCACTCATGTTCAAAGACTGAAGGAATATATTTATGACAAACTTTGTGTAACTTGCTATTATAAAAAAGTGATGATTAATAAATTTAGAAAAATACATTACTTTCTATTGACATTTTTAATTAAACCCACAAAATGTTTTGTTAAATTAAACAATTATATGTTCTCTCCTTTGGCATTTAAAAACAATGTACAGCATAAACTGCAGAAATTTATATTTTTTAAAATATGTATATTCATTTTAGAAAAACTGTTTCTAATTTCTAAGTATTCAGATAATAGTATAGCAAATATATATTCCAAGATCAACCTGTTAGGTGGTGTAATCATTTTTCCTATGCATTACTTATAAGTTAATTAGAATATGTATTGATATAAAATGTGAATTATATTACACATTAATTTAAATAAATATTAATGGTTTTAACTTTCCTTGGTAATATCATTATTTTATCTTTCCGAAAGTGAAGGTAAAGAAATTTTGCAATACACTTTGGGGAGGAAATCCCTGAGTTTGGTGTGGTAGGAGTTGGTACATTCCAACGACTCTCTGCCCAACTGCCTTGCTATGACTGAGGAAGTTGCCTGGATAGGCAGTGAAACGTCTCTCAAACTAACAATAAAAAATTAGTCCAGTTGCAATGATTCAACCTTTAGATAACTTCAGACAACCTTCAGATTTCAGCTATGTATTTGAGTATTGACATCCATGGAAAAAATCAAGAGGGAATATAATATATTTCCTTTAATACTGAATTCAGATTATGCTGTAAATACAAATGTAATAAAGCCAGTTATTTGGAACACAAAATACCTTACATTATTGAACATCTAAAAAAAGTTAAACATGTCTTAACCAAGAGGTTTTGGTTTTGGAAACCTATGAAACATTAGGAGTTATTGACCTATGGAATACAGATTAAATCACTGGAAGGATGGGACATAAAATTAAAAGCTGATCAAATTGGCTTCCTCAGATCACTAGCAGCTGATAGTATAAATCCTGGAAGTGGGAATGATAATAATACTACAAGGTTAAAAAAAAAACCCTTTCTGAAGGTTACTGAAATTTTAGCAGGGTTTGTTAAAGGGGGGGGGGTATTCTTTTTTTTTCCTTTCTCAAGAGTCTCAGTAGTTTTTGCTATAATCAGCTCTAAAACAGAATTCTTAACTGTTATTTAGTATACTACAGGTAGACTTCAGTGAATTGAAGTTTTCTACCTTTGCATGGGAAAAAAGTAGAGGTTTCTGCCTCTCATGGATTTAGCAAAAATTACTGTTTGTGCACTCTAAATAGTGTATATTGAACCCGTAGCCTAGCTTATAAAAGTTAAGAAAAATGCTCATTTATTCCAAGTATTATTTTTCTTTTCAATGAAATAAAATTACACAGTGCCCTGTTCATGGAAATATCTATTGTGATAAATATTACACGTGAAAGTGTATAGCTAACTATATGTCTCCTGTATTTTAATAAACAATTTAACCCTCCACTTTCTTCTTTATAGTAAATTCTTAAATATGTTGTATGCAAAATATGTTGTGTGAAGCATTAAAGTTGCATTTTCAGGAGGCACAGAAACAATCCAGATTATTTTGAGGATTACATTCCTGATCCTGCTTGAATCTCCTTTGAAATCTGAGGAATTTTAGAAGATATTCCTTAAATTAATAGTATATTCTGTTGTTATAAAAGAGCTTCTTGGATATGTTTGTACAGTATGGCAAGGTTTAACAGCATTATTTTTAAAGTTGCTGATCCTTTTAATGTTAGAATGCTGATCAGTTCCCAAGGCCTCCTGAAAAAGTGAAGTTATTAGTAGCTTTTAGAGTTAGGGGAGAGGGGCAAAAAAGTAAGAAATCCTACAGACAGCATTTTGTGTCATAGCCCTGTTTTTATACCTTATGATAGGAGGGACCTTCAGCAGGCACTCCCTGATCATTCAAATTGGCTGGATAGAATCTATCTGGAAAAGGTGGTGGTTTTTTAAAAAATACTTTGGTTCAATGCCACATAATATAGGACTTTATAGATAGTGACCAATACCTTGAGCTGCACTTAAAAATAGTAATAACCACTGCAGTTTCTGAATGGTATAATGTAGGATACCAAGACTGCTCAGAATGCACTTAGGCTGCTGCATTTAAGACTAGCTGAAGTTTCTGGTGGTCCTCAAGAGAAGTCCCATATAGAGTGAGTTGGAAGTCTAGTAATCCAGTTATGAGATTAGGAATATATTTGTGAATCTCCTCAATGTATCCTGTTCAAATTTGACCAGAATGGATGTACCTACCAGAGGGAGGCAAAGGCCATCTTGGTCACAGTTTCTGTTTGTTCTTTTTGAGAGAGCACAACCCCATTGAAAATCAGTTGGTATTATTATGAAATCAGTAGGCTTCTGAATTAAGTCATTTCATTTTGCTTGAGTCCAAATCTGTTTCTCTTTGAGTCCTAACAGCATCCAGGCACTGAGAAAGGATTTCTATTGCATCCTCTATTTCTTTGGTGACATACCAATGTACATCATTTTATAAACATTCTCTTAAAGATTATAATAATGTAAATTTCAGTTCTTTCAACCACATATAGTTCCAGCTGTATATTATAACCAAATTTTTAGCCTACTTTATCATACTTCACTTGGAATGGTATGTGAAAAAGACCTTGAGAAACAAGGTGAAGAGATGCTACTCAGGGAACAATCAGATAAGAGAGGACACAGCCGGCAGCTGCCTAATGGATGGGGAAAGAGGCTCAGAAGGGTCATCCCTAACTTCTCAGACTTGAAAGAAAATGGCAAGAGATTTGTACTGTCAGACTTGCAAGATTCTGTTAACGTAGTCTTATAATAAAGTAGAAGTAGCTCAAATGTTCTATTTCCTGTCTAGCTAAGAAGGCTTACACTTCTTGTTCTTCTGTTTCAAATTTCAATAGAAATTTGTACATTTTAGAAATTACATGTTCATCATTTGTACATAATTGCATTTCAAACTCATGTTAAAATCCATAAACTCATTTAAATCTTTCTAATAACTGTAAATAAGAAAACCATTGGCAAGTACGTAATCCGATTTTCTCTTGATTCTATATTGCATTTCCATGTGTTTGTCTAGTGTCATAAAATGCTGCTTGCACTGAGAGATACAAAGGTGTTTTGGGGTACAACCTGGGTGTGTATTTATATTGTAAAGAAAGAAATAAAATAAAAAGAATTGATTTCTCTCTTCATAACAGCACGTACAGTATAAATAGTTTTACCACCTCTTAAAATACAGCAAATGATGTCTTCTTTTCATATCTCTTATTTATAAATAAATCCAGAAAACTTTCTTCAGTCCTGGTCAGCAAAACTCAAATAACTCGATTTCTTCTATTTTTTTCTTTGTCTTGTCTCACAAAATTCTTGAAAACTTTAAGAAATCTCTTTTTGTAAATTCAATATAAGAAAGTTATCCAGGTTACCTTTTTTGGTTTCTTGATATCAGCTGGTTTTATTTATATACCCAGTCTAGCATATCAGTTTCAATCCTATCCAGTAAAACGTGCTCCTTCTCCATATCATTAATGGCAGACACTCTTAAAATTAACTTCTGGATCATTTGTTCACAAATATCCTTCAATATGTCCAATGCACTCAGTCATTCAAGCCCTGGTCATCTCATGGTTGGACTATTGCAACATGCTCTACATGGGGCTATCTTTGAAGAGTATCTGGAAGCTTCAGCTGATACAGAATACATTTGTGTGGCCCATGTTACATCACTATTCCGTGAGCTGCACTGCTTCTGGGTCCAATTCAAGGTGTTGCTTATCACCTTTAAAGTTCTTCATGGCATGGGTCCAGATTATCTGAGGAACCTCTCCCGTGCCAGCAGAAGAGGCATGTGGTGGACCCCATTGGTCAAGGAATTTCAACTGGCAGAGTCCAGGAGAAGAGCCTTTTCTGCTGTGATACCCATTCTCTGGAATATTGTGCTCCCCAAGGTGAGATCCACACCCACCCTTTTGGCCTGGCTTTGCCAACTAGCCTGGGGAAGTGGCATCCTGGAGTTGGTTAATACATTAGCAATAGTAATAGGACTTAGACTAATATAGTGCTCTGCAGTGCTTTTACAGCACTCTCTAAAAAGTTTACAATGTTAGCATATTACCCTCAATCTGGGTCCTCATTTTACTGACCTCGGAAGGATGGAAGGCTGAGTTAAACTTGAGCCAGTCAGGATCGAATTCCTGGCAGTGAGCAGAATTAACTTTCCAAAATCAGTGTTCTAAATCAGGGCTTTTCAACCAGTAGTACGGGTACCACCTGTGGTACATTGGCACCTGGCAGGTGGTACGCGACCATCCTAGAAAAGTGGTAGCGGGGGAGGGGAATGAGTTGAACCGGTGGCAGTACCGCACATGCCTGAGTGAGAGATGGCTGGAGCTGCAGGGCTGTCGGCTCAGCGGAAGCACCAGGATCAGCGCCAGGCTCCAGCTGGAGCTTGGCGCTGATCCTGGTGCTTCTGAGCCCAGAAGAAGCGCCGATCAGCTGGAATGTTGCAGCATCTCTAGGGTCTTGCGATTTACATTCAGATGCCTGGCAACTGATGCATATTTATGATGGTCACAGTGTCCCAGGGTCATGTGAAGTGACCAAAACCTGCTGCAACCACCCAGCAGACAGAGGAATAAAAACCAAACACACACCCCACTCCACCCCTGCTGCCAATCCTCAACAGAAATGCTCACAACAATGAAAACCTCGGACAGGAGGAAGAGCACCGCCGGGTGGACAGGCAGGTGTCTTGCTCGGCTGTGGCTTGGGGGGCACTTTTTTCAGTGCCATTGTAACTTCGAACAGTCATTAAGCGAACTGTTGTAAGTTGAGGACTACCTGTACTTCATCACTTTTTTCCTTTTTTTTATCAACTTTTTGACACCTTGCTAGGTGACTGGTGGTATTCGGATATCACCATATCTTAAAAGTGGTACAATGGGTGAAAAGCTGAAAAGCCCTGTTCTAAATACCCTTTTGCAGTTTATTCCAAAAAGAGAGATTTTTAAAAATCCTTAAAATTGTATAAAACTTCTTTCACTAAGGACTGAAGTGTAATAAAACTTGCTATTGTGGAAATTCCTAATATCTGAAAAATAGTTAACAGGCAATTTCTGAAATGATTAAGAAAGGAAGTATGTGAACTCAGAGTTTATAAAGGTGCTAACTGCATTTTGGGCAAAGATGACAATCTCTCATCTTCCAGAGCAATAAACCTGCCAGAGACTGTCTCACAGTCTCCTTATGAGGAACAAATGTCTGGGGCACTTGTGGGTGATCTCAAGTCCTTTCCTTATCCAGAGAGGAATCACAAAGATTATTCTTGTCTATTTAGACTGAAGTACTTAATTTCTTTACAGGCTAATCCCAACAGTTAATGTTATCATGTTTCTTATCAGTACTATGCTACCATAGGGTCCTAAAATTGTGGGTGCATTTGTGAGTGTTAGAGGAATTGTTATTTCTGCGTTTCATGATTGTGAGGTCTAAGGGGTCAGGAACAATTCATATTTTATTTAAGTGATAAAGAGATAAGAGATAAAGGTCTAATAGATTTAGAAAAATGTAACAAAACAAAGTCTTATGAAGAGAGATTGAAGGGGCTGGTATATTTAATCTTGAGAAAAGATGACTGAGACAGATTATAACAGCACTTTCAAATGCCTTAAAACTGCTGTCCATCCATCATTCCAGAGATTTAAAAATATGTTTTATTACAGATTATGGTGAGGGTAACTGTTATATGGTATTTATATATCTAGGATAGTCCTTTAAGATATTATTAAATCTAAATTACATAGATTTAATAGAAATATAAAATAAAATAAATATAAAATAAAATGCTGGATGAATAAAAGAATTTGAAGATCAGTTTAGTAAAAATCAAATGGAAAACTAATAATAACAGCAGAAATAGTTAAAAGTGCAGTAAAAAGAATTAAAACAGGATATCATGGTTCTGTCAACTTTGAAAATGAGCATGGCTGCGGCCATCTTCCTTATTCATTTTCAGTTGACACTGGACATGTCTTGTAAATGATCAATTGCATGGCTTTTTGTTCAAATATCTGGTTAGCCTACCTCAAATTATAGCTAAACACTTAATGAAGTATTACTTAAAGGAGACATCAACAATTGGTTAATAACTGGCAAAATGTATCTCGTTCAAAAAGGACCTACAGAAAGAGACAACATCAGGAAATTATAGGTCAACAATATGCTTGCCTACAATGCTTAAACTACTCACAGATTATATTAGAAGAAAATAACATCCTTCCAGTAGAAGAGAAAGGAAATAAAAGGAAAAATAGAGGCACAAAATGATAACTTCTAATTGATAAAATAATTTTACAAAAGCCGAGAAACCAACTTATGTTCTGAATTGATAATAAAAAGATATTTGATTCATTACTATAGAATTTCATCATCAAATGTTTGGAAATAATTGATGTCAGTAAAAACATTAGAATATTTATAGAAAAAGCAATGAGACAGTGGAAGATAGAATTCGTGGTTGGAAATGAAAATATGGGCCTGTCAACATTAGGAGTCATTAGAATGAAACCTATAAGTATCTAGAAATTTTACAGTTTGAAAACATCAAACATTGACAAGTTAAAAATGTGACTAGTAAAAAATACATCCAAAGGGAGAAAAAATTGAACGGTTAAAAGCCATTAATACCTGGGCCTTAGCTGTTTTATGGTACTGGCAGTGCTTTCAGTCTATTCTGGTAAATCATGGAAGACATTCTTTCTATTAGAAATTGTAGTTATTTACTCTAAATTTAACTTTATTGTTGAGAAACTAAACTACTTTATATGTGAAAGTCATGGTAGAACATTTATGAAATAAAAGCCCTTTGTTAGAATCAGTTATTTATTGTTTGCATTGCGTCTCATGTCTGATTCAATTTTTGTTTTTTGTTCAAATAATCTATACATAATTCAGGATGGAATAGATTCCTTCAAGCTATTATCCCAGTTTTCTGTTTTTCCCTAGTTATACCTGCCCCTTTTTACCTGTTAAACCCCAATCAGAATCTCTGCATGAAACTCTACATGAAAAATAGTGGCTTTTTTTCTCAATTACTATACAACATCAGTGTTTAACACTTGGGAAATTTTGCTAAAGTTTCATGTTAACTATAACACATATCACAAAATCCCACCCCCTTTCTTATTAGTTGTATTTGAGGTTAGACCTAGGGTAAAAAAAACTAATCAGGCTGTACAAACTTAATAATTTGTAGTGAGTTTCATATACAATACAAAGAGGGACGTTCAAAAAGAAGGGAAGTAAGCTGCAGGAAGAACTCTTAGTTCCAGTTCATGCAAAACACAAATGTAACAAGCTTGCCATTAATAACTAAATAAATATGAACATTATGCTGTAATTAAATGTTTAACCAGCAATCTGTCCTCTGAACTGTTAACTCTTTTCAGAACCTTTCTCCCCTATTCTTGGGTAAAGGAGAAAAAAAATAATTCCTTAGTAATTATAAATAATTACTGGAGTTTCTTCTATACTATAAGTATTCTTGTGAAAAGAATTTTATTCCTATTTATTTATTCCTGATCGACAAATTCTTCAGTTTACACTTTGGGATACAAAGTATGTATTTCCAATAGGAACGTGAAAAGTCAGCTTTTCTGAGATGGTAATTTTTTCACCTGGGGTTGCCATCAGTATGAAAGTTCCAATATATAAACTAGTCATACCTTGTTTTTAAGAGTTAAAATTAAAATATTACTCCTTTACCTTTATGACAAAAATAATATTTTTATTTGTTCCATATTAATCTTTAATAATTTAAAAATGTTTGTACCTTTATATTGTTACAATGAAATGTGTTCTTTATTTTCATATATAAAATACATACCATGTTTTTAACTGTTAAAATTAAAACATTATTCTTTTACCTTTATAACAATTAAAATGTCATTGATTTATTTCATAATAATATTTAATCCTTTATTAAATGTTAATAACTTTGTGCTGTTACAATGGAATTTGTTTTTTATTTTCAGCATCTGGCGAGGACCAAATATAAATTGCACAGATAGTTCAGGATACACTGCTTTACATCATGCAGCTTTGAATGGTCACAAGTAAGTGCTATATTACTATTATGTTGGAATTAGTTTGTATTGCATGTTTGTATTGAAGCTAGGCTGCATAAAATTATCATATTTTTGTGTTTATGTTGATTTTAGCAGAATATTTATGCCAGTTTTGCAATTGAAGAAGCCTACTATAGCAGGATCTACTTCAATGATTAGTAAAGTTCTATATAGTGACTTTTTAATGAACAACACATGAATAAAGTTCAGATATGGACTAGGTTGTTGAGTCAATAAGTTTTTAGGTTTTAAACTTACATTTTTCATAACTAATTAGATTTGACAGGATAGGGCCTCTTTGAGACAAATTAGATTTCTACTTTATTTTAAATAGCAGTAAAAAATCTTATTTATAAAAAAAATGATCTCAATAATCTTCATTCTTACATTGGCATTTTTTTATATAATCTACTGCAATGGGTAATAGTTAGACAACACAGCTGCCATTGGGGGAAAAATATCTGTGAGGGTCATTCTTCAACCTAATGGATGGATTGTGCTAGTATGAAGGTGGATAAGTATAATATTGTTGTATGATTTCTGGAATTTTGGGTGGCTTCCCAATAGCTCTTGATACCACTAAGTATTTGTTGTCCTGGACTGATTTTTTAAAATATGTTTCAACAGTACTATTTTGTGATAATTGTTTCTTTTGGTGGATAGATATTAGGTTTTAACAGCTAGTATTAGGTGATCAGTGCCTGTTCCATGTCTATGATATTTCCTGAAGTACTTTTGGTCTTTTTTCATTATATCTGTGGATTTGCAAATATACTAGAACTACAAAAGTTTCTGTCACCCTATATATTTTGTTATATTGCTGCATTAACAGCATAACATTGTCTTGTTCATTTATTGAGGTGATGTCTTATAATTATAACTATTATAACAATAATTATAACTATTATTTTCAAGCCCTTAGCAACTGCTCAGAATGAAGCAAACTAGATTTTCAGTGTTTTATTAACCTGATTAATTGAAATAAAAAATAGGAGTTATGTTATAGAAATCTTGGTGACTACATACATTTATGGTAGAATTCAATTTATCTCTAAATTCATTACAGTGGGGATTCCTCAGTCTTTTTGCTAACCATGTGTTGAGACTGCTGGATTTTTTTTTTCTTTTGATAAAGGAAGAATGTGCAGATGTCCCAAACTTGTAATAGTTCCCAAACTTCCATGCTCTTTCCATTGTCGTTTGTTGTCCTTGTTTTCCTTTGTTTCCTCTTTTGTTATGCTTTTTTCTCATGCTAATTTTGCATCTCATCCTTATTTACTTCTGGTTTATAGGCCAAAGAGTTCTTCTTTGGAAGTTTTACAACTACAGGAACATTCTATGAACATTAGCAGAATTAAAGTTGATACTCTTGCCATAAATATATCCTCTTACTTAACAGCAGTCTTTGTAAGGAAACAATTTCAGTGGGTGATAGTGTGGCTAAACAAGTATGACATTGTGTCTTCAGGCCACCATCTACTCAAAACTGGTGACATTCTTGCCTGCATATATTCTAGGCTTGAAAAAACAGGAACTGTTGCATAAGACTTTGAGGAGACTTTTCAGGTGTCCAGCCTTGTACATTTAACTATTCTATCATAGGCTTTGCTTTCAGCTCCATTATGAATTTCAACTTTGGTCATGCTTCTGATACTATCTTCAGTATTAGTAATGAACACAAGTTGTTAGATTGACTTACAACAGTGCAGTCATTTGTCTGTCTTGTAGTCTGAGGCCAAAACTATTTTATTCTTCTTCTATAGTGCTTAATAGTGAGGTAGAACAAAACAAAATAGAGCACAAACATGTGTACTAGAATGGACGTTTTCTTAATGCCAACACTTTCAACATTGACAATTTTAATTCCTCTTATAACAGCATTTAAACTGAAATTCTTTTGTCATTAGTCCAACTCCATGAGTTTCATTTCAGTTCCCTTCATTAATTCCAGTGCTTGATAGGATTTCCTCAGTTCTTGAACTTTCACTTTTGAATGAAGAACAGCCTATGAAGGAGAAATAAATAATAATAATTGATCACTTAGCAGTTGCCCTCCATTTCTATTGTCTTGACTTGCTCACTCCATTTGATAGCTCATTCTAATGTTGTTTTTTGGATTAGAGATTATACCCAGATTTGTTACACTTCCCTAGAATCTTACTGTTCATATTATTTAGATTACCTAGATTCTGAATTTGGGGGGTGGGGTGTGGGCAACATAGCAGGGACAAATGCAACTTTGCTTTTGTTGCTTTCCTTCTCAGAGCTGCTTTTCTCATTCTCATTCTCAGAGCTGGGGCTGAAGTTCTGCAGGCATTGAGAATTGAAGAGATACTGCCCTAGAGAGTACTATGAGTCCTATTCAAGATGTAGGTAAGGCTGGTAAAAGTTGTCATGATTGTGCTGACATTCAGCCATATATATAAGGTGGTTTCACCTTTATCCAGACTTTTAGCATAGATCACTTTGATCAATCAATAATCTTTGTACTTGTCTCCAAAGAAGCTTACCCAAAAACTGTTACTAGTGTGTCATAATGAGATCTGTGATTTAATATTTTGCCATGATAAATTGCTGATAGCAAATTGTGCAATTTGGAGAAAATGACCAGACAAATGAGCTGAAAGTAAAGCATGATAATTGAGTTCATTCTAAAATAAATCCCTGAAAATGGTGAGCATACAGCACCTTCCCGGATTAGGTCTTTCCTAAAGTTTCCTAAAGTTTCCTTCTGAGAACATTTTCAATCTATGATTAACCTGATTGATCATTAGCTAAACCTATAATCTAGATTTACTTCTCTGCTACCAAAAGGTTCTGCTAACAGTACATATAAGAACAGGTGCTTAACCTTAAAACCTGGTTAGAGCAGACTGATCACAAATTTGAGCTAAACTACTGTATATCAAGAGTGTCTAAGCTCCTTGCAAGAAAAGGAACATGAGAGAGAATATAATTGTTCTGAGAGAATCTGATCTCCCAAAGAGGTTTTATACTTAAGGGTGCATATGGATATGTTTTCAGATGAGGAGGCAGAAGACAATAATCCTGGATTGGGTGAGTCCAGCAGTGTTGGACTCCATTCTGGTTCAGACAAATCCAACAAATCCCAAGGAATCCTTGCCTACCCCTACTCCCTGTTTCTAGATTCTGCAGTTCAGCTACCCAGTCTTAAGTAGAAGTGTGTGATAAAGATCCAGTAGCAGAGATTGAGTTCCATAGGTCGGAGGCTTGGCAAAGAGCAGGCCAACAGAAGAGCAAACTCTAGTGAGTGTTGTAGCTTATCTGCACATTTGGGTGGAGACTTGGCATTGTTGATTTATTGGCTTCAGTCCTTAGGAGAAAATGCAAAGAACAACTTTTCAGGTCTCAGATTTATTGGGTTTATCTTGCTGTGTTGTGCTTGGAAATCTAGATTCCATTCCATCCTGTTTCCTGTCTCTCCCCTCAGATTTGTTGTTTGATTATTCAGTTCCTTGTCTTAACCCATACCAAATCTGCTGACTACATCTACAGTTGCTGTTCTAAGATACTGATAAAGAGGACTTTTTGCTTCTAAAAGATTGTTTTGCCTGAGTTCCTTTATTGCTCAATTGTGGCAAGAAACCAGCCTGCTAGCTTGTGGCTGGCAACCATCAAGACCAGCACAGAAAAGTAGGTTAAATGTGTTTAAAATGTGAGTAGGTGTGAATTCCTATTCAAGTAGTAACCATCACTGCCTGGAATAGAAGAGATTTCTCATTAAGTTCTGCCACTTCCCTTTCTTACATATCAAAGATATATCTAGGTGTTGCCATTATCTGTTGTGATATTTCTTATCTCTTTTGGAGAAGGTCTTTTTATTTTGTTTATAGGTATCACACTATCATATGGAACAGTTTCTTCATAAATAATGGATATATTATAAAGCTCGTTTCAATTTTTCCTGCCAGCACATTTTGTTCTAGAATCTAGTATTTTATTTCTTCTTCAAGAAGCAATATTGTATAATTAATTCCATCCGGTAGTAGACCTGTACCATTTGAATTTTAGTTACCTAACTATCCTAAATAAGTTCAGTGGGTATAAGGGCCATGAACACTTTCTTCTTTACATAAACTTTTCACAGAGTGAATCTGGAAAGCAATTTAGATATGAGTGGTATTGTTCATATAGATAATTCTAAAAAATATTTACTTTCATTTACTCACTAAGCTGTACCAAATATATTCCCTGAAGTTTTTTTTAAATTTCTATTTCATGGCAGTTTATCAGAATATATTAGAAATTACTAGTTTTTCTATTTCCTGGAGAACCTACTCATTGTTTTATGCCAATATCACATGAATGCAAAGAACTAATTTCAAACAAGCTTCTCAGCAAAGCATTAGTTCTTAGTCAACTTTCCTGTTCCTTCTGGAAAAGTCTGTTTTTGTTTTTTCTGGCTTCTTTTTCAGCCATTGAATCTGCTTAGGGCTATCTGTTTATTGCTCAGCAATCCACCCACTCCTCTCATGAAAATGCTGTATGATAGAGTTACTGACAGTCATAGCGTTTAGAAACATAAAAACTTAGAAAGCTTATAGCAGAAAAAGATGTAGTGGTCCATCTACTGTATGCTCATCTGGATGTTAATTGCTAGTGAGGAGGTGTTTTGGTCTTTTTGTTCCCTTTTGGACTTGTTGATTGTCTCTTTTGCATAGTACTGTATGTGAATGTTGTTTATGTCAGTGTGTCTAGTGATAGCCAATTTGTCTGAATGCCAGACTTCCAGGAATTCTCTGGTGTTTTTTGAACTTGGCTTGGTCTAGCACGGCCACAGTTTCCCAACTGAAACTATGCTTAAGTCTGTCCATACGTTGTGACTTCATCAAAACGTCATCAAAAAGTGTCTGACCACTCAAACTAACTTGCAGTCAGAAGAAATGATGAAAACTCTTTAATTTCACAACATATGAACAAAGATTAACATCAGACCAATAGTCAAGAAGTAAACAATACCCCAATCA